AAAACAACACTGAGATTCCACCTCACCCCACAAAGAATGGGTGCTATCAAGAAATCAACCAATAACAAATGTTGGCGGGGTTGTGGGGAGAAAGGAACCCTTCTTCATTGTTGGTGGGAGTGCAGATTGGTGGAACCACTGTGGAAATCAATATGGAGATACTTCAAAGAACTAGGACTAGAAGTCCCATTTGACCCAGCTATTCCTCTGCTGGGTGTCTGCCCAAAAGAATTGAAAGAATCATACCACAGTGATATATGCTCACCCATGTTTATAGTGGCACAGTTTATAATAGCTAAAACTTGGAAACAGCCCAATTGTCCATCAACTGGAGACTGGATAAAGATGTGTTTTTTGGGGGGGAGGGGTTTGTTTTGGTACTGGGGATCGAACTCGGGACCTTAAAATGTGGGGTTTTTTAATAAAATGGATTACTACTCAGTCATAAAGAGAAACTGAGACATTTATATCTAAGTGGATGCACATTGAGGCCATACTTCTAAGCGAAATAAATAGGACATGCATGTGTAAATACTGAACAGTTTCTCTGGTGTGAAAAACTAAAAGTGTAAATAAGGATCAAAATGTATAGATATTGTGTAATAGGAAAAAATGTTCTGAAGGAGTAGGGGAAGTGGGAGGGGTAGGGGAAAAAATAAAAAATATGAGAAAAGGAAAAAACTGGAAACAAAGTCTTTGTAAATAGGGAAGGGTGGAGGGGGTGAAGGGAGGGCAGGGGAATGGGGAAAAAAATAAGAACCAAGATAAATTGATGTAAAGATACAAGGTCCCAATGACGAATGTAACCTAAAATGTACCAATAAACTTAATGGAAAAAAAAAAAAAGTAGCATTGAGAACAAAAAAAAATCTAGATTATAGCATTGCAAGTGATTTTTTAGTGGAGATGCAGGATTAGTTCTAATTATCAATGCTCAAAATGCTATCTAATGGATAAGTGCCACCTTACTGAAACTAAAGTAAGGATTGTGCATGGAGGACACAGGGTACATAAACCTGATCTTAAAATTACATAACCTGCCCTGGCTTAAAATCCTGAGTGTTGAGCTGGGGATTTACTTCAGTAGTTTCACTGCCTGCTGCGCAAGCACAAGGACCCGAGTTCAATCCCCGGTACTTAAAAAAAAAAAAAAATCCCGAGTGTTAAAGCTTCTTAGTGTGCTCACTGGGTAATTCTTGGATGCATGTCCTAGTTTGTGATTGGACTTCTTTTGGCAGCTCACTAGGTCCATGGAAAAGTGGGTACAATTGAATGTTGAATTCAAATTACTTGGGGAAAAAGATTTGAAGGGTACCAAATAATATTTACTGAACAAAGAGAACTTTCAGGATGAGCTTCTGAATGTAGTCAACTTCTTAAGGATTCCCTGATGACCAGTGTCTATGTCTTAGAAACCCCAGGCATGTTTATGGATTTCCTAGCCAGCCTCAGCATTGACCCAGATCCTGGAGGTTATAAAGATTTGGGCTACATGGTCTTTCCATTCCATCTGGGTGTGTCACTAGACAGGGTTTGAGGTGGGAACACAGAAATAAGAAACCTAGACCCACTTCCCCATAGAATTAAATTCTAGGTTTGCTGACTCCCATGGTGGAAAACGTTTACAATCCTTTTGATTTCCGGGAAAGGATTCTGTCTGTGGTGGTCTCAACCTTTCCAGAACCCAGATCATCACAGGTTTAGGCCAATAGCTGGAGACCTCTGGGCATAGATGAATGTCCCTAGAGATCCTCCATCTTGGTTGATGTCTTCCATATTGCAGGGAGTGTAACACTTCTATATGTGGAGCTAGGAAGGGATTTGACCCAGTTTTAAGGTAACAAAGGCTTTGTTCTGCTTTTACTAACCTACTGGGTGTCTGTAGGCCCAAATGAAGAGTCATGGTTCACAACAAAAACTGACTTTTAAATCCGAGTGTTCCAGAGGAAAATACAAGTTATGGTTTTAATGAGTAGTAGTAGGTAGCTCAGAATTTTGCCTGATCCCTGTCTCTATGGTGGGTCCTAACTGTTATGACTGCATCACCATCATGAAAAATTACAGTAGCTAATTCTGAATATTATACACCCAGCATTGTTGTAAATATTTTTCATTTAACTTAATCCTAGGAAAAAAACTTATGAGGTTGACAATACTTATTGCAGAATGCTAACATACAAATTTCTGAGGCAGCTGGCCTGAGAAGCAAAACCACAGCAATCAGTGAAGCACAGCACCTGGTCAGTGACTGCCAGCTTCTCTGGTTCTTGCACCCTTCTAATTTGGGACCTACCAGAGAAAGCCCTAAATCAAGCATGGAAAAGGCTGCTCTTCAGCTTCCTCATGCCAGCAGGGTTCAATCAGAGCAAATCTCAACCCTTCCTTTGTTCACTATTGTCAAAGAAAAACAGCACAGGACAAGTAAACAAAGGAAGTCATATTCAAGACTATTCATTAGGGAAATCCAACTCTTCTGAAACAAATGGTGACAGTTTTTAAGCAATGTGGTAAAACTAGTGAAAAGTACTAAAGGACGTTGGGGGAGCAGGTTAGACAATGTGATTAAACCGCTGGTTTCGCTAAGTGACACAGACTTGGGCTTCTACTCTATTCTCTCACAGACACTGGGAATTTGGGGCCATATCTTTGTCATGATTCCACCTCAAAGGGATGGAGAGATGTCCTTAAAACATTCCTGAGCTAAAAAATAATTGGCACAAAGCTGGGTGAGGGAAGATCTACATTTCAAAGGTGCAGAGGAAATTCACATTGGGAAGTTCACTAAAGCTCTAAGAAAAGGGAGGTCAGACCTCCAGTCAGGAGGCAGCCCATTTGGAGTTTAGTCAAGCTAAGAAAATGTAAAGCTTTTCTACTCCACACTTGCCTTGCTTTCCTGCTGAGAGATGATACTGGTTGCCTCAGTGTTCTGAACACTTTGTTCTATTTTTTGTGAAGTTCCAGTCTCCTTGTACTCTGATCCTGTTTCTTTGAATTAAGGTTCTAGCCTAGGATAGCCTCAAATTTGCTTTGTATGCCAGCCAGCCCTCTAATTCTCTATCCTCTTGCTTTAGTCTCCAGAGTCCTGGGATTTTAAGGCGTCTTACCACCATGTCTGGCTCTCATTCCGTTTTAAACTTCAAAATCTGAGTGTGATTTTAAATGTATTTCTTTGCTTGAACATGACCAAGTCATGTTTTATTGGTAACTAAGGGCTGAAGCATGCCTAAGAACTGTCCTAACTCCTTACTCTCTCTAATGTGGACTACTTCCTTTCTTATCTTCATCTACAAAGGTAGTCACAAAGCCTTGTCCTCCCTAATTACAGAGCAAAGTACTGACTGCAGTTATAGAGCTAGCAGGCTGTTCAAGATGGACAGCCCTTTGTTCTCTTACCTGAGCCAGTTGGTTCAAATTTAGGCTCCACCTTTCCCCACCCCCTCACAAATCATCAGCAGTGGCTGACTATTCCTGACTCAGCCTATAAAGTCTGTGCAATTGTGCTGTCTTTAATGACTTCCAGCCCTTCCTACCCCAGGAGCCTTTGAGAACATATTAATTTACATTCTTGAATAATTAGATAACTACATTTCTGAAATACGAACTTCAAACTCCAACAGTCAATCGTTCATTAGAAAAAAACTGAGTAAGGCTCTTTAAAAAGACACATTGCTTCTGAAAGATCTTTTTTTTGCCAATTTACAAATAACTATGTCATATTTCACCCTCCTACAATCTCAAGTATTTCTATAATTCTATATATTATTAGCGTCGTGGCGTTAACACTTGACAGGAAATGTAGAAAAAAATAAAACTTTTTTAGTTTTCATAAGTGACCAAACAAGTAAGCTACTGAACTAAATACAGGGGATATGTGGGTGGTTGTCAGACTACATTGAAAACCACCCTGGGATCTTTTCAAAATGTAAATTCTGACTCAGTAGATCTAGTATGGGCCTGAGATCCTGAATTTCTAAAAACCTTCTTAGAGATGGCCATTGTTTTTGGTTCACAAACCACAATTTTGTGTAATGTTAATTTACATAAAGAAAAAGACAATACTCAGAAATTAAAGCAGTTATATTAGTACTATTTTTTGTATAATCTATGCTTACAATATGTAAGTATTTATGCATGTACACAATAAAAATAGAATAAAGCCATACTGAAAACTTACCAAACATTAACAGATTCGGGGTCAAGAGCTTCTGGATACTTTTATCCTGCTTTTTTCCTTACAAATTAATATTTCCTCAAAATTTTCTGCATAAGTAAACTTTTTTTTTAATATCCTTTGGCAGGCACAGTGGCATATGCCTGCAATCTCAGCTACTCAAGAGGAGGACTGCAGGTTCAAGCCCAGTCTAGGCAACTAACCAGAGACCTTGTTTCACAATGAAAATCTTTTTTGGTACCAGGGATCGAACTCGGGACTTTGTGCTTGTGAGGCAGGCGGTGGAACCACTGAGCTAAATCCCTGGCCCTCAAAATGAAATTTTAAAGAAAGCCTTTTCCTTTTTCCCTTCCTTTTTGAAGTAAACAGCCACATCGTGTCTTAGCATCAAGCATTGGTTATGTCCAAAAAGAGTAAGAGCAGCAAGTCAAATGTAATGAATATCAAAGGTGATTAAAGTTGTGGATAAAGGGTTTTAAGAGGTGGACACTTGCCCGATCCCCATAGGGTTATGTGACTGTGACATCTGACTAAGTCAGTGAAGTGACCAGGTGGCTTCTGGGAGGTATTGGTGTGATTCATCCACCTAACACATTTTTTAGAAGCTCTTCTCTTTCCATGAGGTAGAGGTGAGATCAAAGAGCCAAGACCCAGCCATTCTCAAGAGATTTCTTAGTATGAAGCACAAGTTTCACTTCTGATGCACTCCCAGACACAGGAAGTTTGCTCAGACTTCACATGATGACAGGGTCCAGCTAGGATCAGGGAAACCTGTAAAGCAAATGCAACCACCTTTGAACTTACTACTTTTTGTTTATAGAGAGACATTTGCTTTAAAGGAATCTAGAAACATTTTGGACAGTTAATAGGGAGGTTGGGCAAGTGCTTAAAATGTTTCACTTAAAGGGCATAAAATGAATTCAAACATATTTGAATTAAAGGAATTAAATTAACTTGGAAAAAAAACCATTTTTGACAGGAGATAAAAAGAAAATCACTTCTGCCTATTCTGCTTTTTTAATATGACAGGGCATCAGATTTAAAATCGTAGAGGAAAAACAAACTAACCTGACAGGTCCTAAAGAAAGTATTCTCAGCTCTTACCTTCCAAAAACTCGACAGTCTGTAAAAGAGAATCTTAGTTAAAAAACAACTGGTTTGCCTTTCATTAGATTTTTTTCGTTTTATACTTTCTGCTGTTATTAAACAAGACTAAAACCTGGTTAGAATAGTTAAGTAATAGCAACCACACTAGTAATAAAATGTTAATTTTTAATGCATTGTATGCCAGGCAGTATTTTAGGTACTTTCAGTTAACTTAATCATACAAAAAACTGTATGACACCATTTATTATCCCCATCTAATGAATAAGGACACAAAGGGACGTAGAGATAAGGTACCTTACCCAAGTTACATACAGTTAGAAGTGCAGCCAGTTCTGAATCCAAGCAGGTTAACTCCGGAGCTGGCCTCTTGAGAAAAGGTGCTACAGTATTTTTATGATGAAAGTTGCTACCATTTTTGGTCACCATGACAGAATTTTCTTGTCTATATTCAATAAGAAAATATATAGACCAAATTAACAAGGTAAGGTATAATATTTATCTGCCAAGAAAGTTAATCTTACAGTTGCTGGAGAAACTTCACTGTAAGGGGCAGTATGGCTGGGTGCAGTAGCTAACATCTGTAATTCTAGCATTCTGGGAAGCCAAGGCAGGAGGGTCACATGTTCCAGCCCACCCTTTGGAATTTAGCAAGTTGTGGAGACTCTGTTTCAAAATACAAAAGAAAAGGTCTGGGGATATAGTTCAGTCAGAAAGCCCTGGGTTCAATCCCCAGTACTGAAAAAAGAAAGAAATGAAAGTAGAGGAAGCAAAAAAGTGGGTGGTGGAGGCAGTATTCCCTTTCTATCTACCAAGCAGATTAGAACATAAGAGGAACTCCTGTGCTGAATTCCTAAGTGAGGGTCTCATGAAGGTCTGAGATCTGCTATTGGTAACTCAGTCAAGAGGCCTTGCAGGATTCAGGGACATCAGGGCCATTCTCCCATTTTTCACAAACATAGGTTAGAAAACCCATTAATGTCCTCAGTTATCTCTTCACCTCCAAAGGCCATCCACAAACCTTTGGGAGATGACCACACTGTCTACTTAGCAAGCATACGAAATTACTGACTGTATGGCCTACATTTTTAGGCCAAAGCTGGCTCATCTGTAAAACAGGGACCTATCTTACTTGCTTGTCAGGAAGCAAGAGTAGATGATCTTTTGAAGGCATTTCAGGATCTAGTTTAAAATAGGGGCACACGGGAGGGGCCTGAGATAGGAAGTACTGTTCAACCTCCTCCTCAAAAGCCACAGTTCCATTCCTTTTGCTAATTGTCCTTCACTAGTGGCAAGACCGGTGGAGTAGCTCACCAATAGAGGGCGTTTTGTTTCTCAAACTAGGCCAGATACTCGAGTTGATAACGACTCTAATAACAAAGGGAATCAATAATAAAAACAAGTTGTTTCTTTAGCACCAGGAGATTAAACAACAGGTGAGATGTATTATCAATCTATTCTTCACTACAAATCTTATTAATAAAGAACTATAAATAAGAATTGGGCATACAATCATTTTAGGGCAGATTATATACACTATTTCTACCTATACATAAGATTTATGTAATGTTTTTAACATTAAAATAATTAAAAATTTCAGATTAAAAGAATTTTTCTTGGACTTAGATCTTGTTTGGGGCAAAGCACTTTTAAATGGCATTTGGCATTTTCAAAGCTCAAGTCTTCTGTTCCCTCTTCCCCTAGCTCCTCTCTCTCTCTCTTTTTTTGGGGGGTATCAGGGATCGAACTCGGGACGTTGTGCTTGCGAGGCAGGAGGCAGAACTACTGAGCTAAATCCCTGGCCCTTCCTCTCTTTTTCTTAACACTGAAATATGGGGTTGGGAGGATGGAAACTCTTAGGAGGTGAGTGACAAGAAAAATTTTGACTTGTCGGTTCGTTTTGTGTGTTTTTTTCTATTGCTTTTTATTTTCTTTTTAAGCCTTTAAAACAAGCCTCTTTCCACGCCACCCACTCCGTGCACTTCCCAAAGGCAGCCCTGAAACTCCACTTCCGCTTTAGGTCCTAAAGGGGGGAGGGGCAGAAAACAGATCAATAAGAATTATAGCAAAATGAGGATTAACAACAGGTTTTCTTATTCCAACACTTACACGTTTTGCCATTTTGAAAATACCTTTCCCCCTCTTTTCCTTAATGATTTAGGTCCCCAAACTCTCACGGTACTTAGGCCACAAAGGAAGTATCAGCTGCTTACAGTTTCAGCTTTCCTGCGCGCCAGCCCCTTCCAAGGGGGCTCCCTCCGGTCGGTCAGCTGTGGCTTGGGGTTCCCGGAAGAGCATTTTCCTCTAAGGATTCTCGCTTATCCACCCGGCGGTAACATTTCTGGGGCTCCTCTCCTCTGGAGCCTCAGGTCCTGGCCGGGGGGGGGGGGGTGTCTCCAGGAAACGATCCTCAGCGCGGTGCGCCGGGAGATCCGGGGTTCAGCGGGGGTACCGGGGACCACAGCCCGGCTCACTCCCGACCAGTGCGGAAAGTGACCGCGGTCACGGAGCGCTCCTCGGTCCTCGTGGTCACGCGCCCCTGCCCCCACGCCGTCCGCTGCACCTCCTGGGTCACCTGGGAATCCACGACCCGCACGAGCACGGGCCTGGCGGGGAACGCGGGGCCGTGGGGCCGGGCCGCAGCTGGGGCTCCTCGTCTGCCGCTCAGTCTCTTTTCTTGTGGAAAGCGAGGACAAGCGCACTCCAGGTCGTGGTCGTCTCTGCCTGGCTCGGGTAGGGCTTCCCCGCTGGCCACCTCTTCCCACTGACTGTCACCTTGAGTCCCCAACCACCTCTCCGGGTGCATCAGAAACAGCACTTTCTCTCTGACCCACGACTCACAGTCCCGCTCTCGGGCCCGGCGTCCCGGGGCGCAGCCCGCCGACAGCTCCTCGCGGGCGCCGCCCAGACCTCCGCTCGCCTCTGCGGGCTCGGGTCTTGGGGCGCCAGAAGCCAGGGACGGGACGGGCGCCCCACAGCGCTCAGAGAGGACCCCGCCTGCTCCGGGCTGAGAGGGCGACCCGCACGCACCTCCCGGGGTCCCCATCCTGCCGAGAGGGTCATTCATGCCTTCCTCCCCTCTCCAGTGCACGCTGCGGTCGCTCTCTGACCTCTTCGAAGCGCGGGACTGGCAGTTCCTGGGTGTGGCCTCTGCGGCGCTCTGGGGCTCCCCGCCCCCGAGGTGAGCAAACAGGTTCAGCCTTAGGCCAGTTTGCTTCTGAACTCCCAACCCCCTCCTACTCTTCTCTGCCACTTCCTCTTCGAGGCTTCCTAGGGGTCAAAAGACAACTTCACTTCTACCGCAATCGCTCTCTCCCTCCCTCCCCGTCCCTAGCCCTCCTTTCGTGCTGTGTTTGATTTTGACTCCTATGACTTCTTAGCTCTATCTAAGTTCTACATCCACTCTTCCTTCCCTTTTCTCCAGAGCTGAGGTACAAAAGACCTTCGCACAACAGCGTCCCCCCCGGCCCCGTAGTGCCCAAAAGAGTTTTCTGTCCGTGGATACTTCTCCGCTGAGGGAACAAGGAAGTTTGTTTTTAATTATCTGATTTAAATCTGAAAAGCATTTCATGGCCACACCAAATCCACCCCCACTGTGCTGCGGAGATTGTGAGACTGGGACCTGGAAGACTTGGAGTTTGTCCTTCCTTTGGAATCCGGGGTCACCGCGGTCACGCCTACCTGCATTTTGGTTATCTCCGGAAGGAACTAGGTGTCTTTGGTTTAAAACAAGCTATAAAACAGAAACGAAACACACAGAAAGACCACTATATATGTTGTGCCCAGGTCGCGAAGTCCCCAAAGATCACCAAGGAGCCGATTCCGATGCAAACACACGAGGGTCGTTTATTCAAGCTCGAGCAGGGACTCTCAACCGTCGCCGACGCAGCGGGTCAGGATTAAGAGCCCCGAATTTCAAACTAGCGGGGTTTTTATAGAGGTTACAGCAAGGTTTGGACATTTTTCACTTAGCAGTTACATGATTGGTTAACATTTAGCAAGCATGAAGTGTACATTTCTGATTGGCTAGGTTCATGGGGGGGGGTTGAGGGGCGGTTACTTGTAGGTTTTACGAGGGAAATGAGGGACAAAGGTTAGTGGTCGACTGTCAGGTACTGATGGTCAGCAGACACACTGACTATTAGTCACGACCGTTACGTACTGACAGTCAGCACATCTACAGACTGTTCTACGGATAGGGGGCCCGGAACGTTCTTTTCCTAGGCAAACAGATGGTTGAGTAATTAACTTAGGAACTTTGCTTCGGTACAGATTGTGTCTTTTGTCCCAGAGCATGTACATTTTAACCATTAATTTGTGAGAGACTAGGGGAGTGGTGCATTTTAGCAAAATGGAGTCGCTTTGGTCTCACATATAATCTTCAGGATTAAGAAGTTTGTGTTCTGTCGTTTTTTGAAACCCCCTCTCCAGGCCTCTTCTTTAACCCTAGAGGCTTCTGAAATCTGCCACACTAATCTTTGCCTAAGGTTAACAGAAAAACAGAAACTCAGATTTATGATTTTTGGTTCATCCTTGGTGCTTGATTTACTACTGAAAGTGCTCGGTGTTCGTGTTTGGTTTAGAGAAGTCACTGCAACGGCGGACTTTTCTACCCTTACAGGAAGGACCAAGTAATAAAGTGAAAGAGGTTATTTTTGAAAGTGAGGACCGTCTCCCGTCTGCCAAATAATATAAATAAAATTGCTGAGGAAGAGTGGTTAGGAAACTGTTAAATCACAACGTCTTCTTAAAGTTTCAGATAAGAATTGTTCTAAGCACTTTAAACTCATTTAGCCTTCAAAACAAAGTAAGATACTACTATTTTTGGTACCTCTGAGAACTTTGGAGCAAGAGAAGTGAGGTATTTGCTTGGCATCAAACGCTGATAACCAGTGGAGTTAAGATTCCAATGTGGTTAAACATTTCCTCCTAATTGACCTCTAAATTACCTTCCTGTTTTAAGACTGACTTCATATTCTTTTCTGTTCATTTACTTGACCAGTAATTACTGAATATGTGATGTCAGCCACTAGGAACAAGCTGAATTGTTTATCTTCTCAGCATTTTCATTCTTAGAGGTACAGTAACGTGTATCAAATCCTCCGTTCAAGGAATCAGAGGTAATAAATCAACTTTAATGAAAATGAAATTCGTCACCTGCAAATGATAAATCCCCTACCCTGCTCTCAAAGATTCCATTCTTATAGGTTTAAGTTAGGCTTAGAATATTGAGTTTTAACAAGGCTTCCGCAATTCTCACACTTGTGATAACATCGACATTTTAAGAAGCATTTCCAAAAATCTCCACGGATAAACTCTAGTCTTTTTTTTTTTTCTGTTTTAAGGGGGAGGGAGAGTAAAGGCATTGAAAATAATATATTCTACATACATGCACCAATTCCCCAAAATGAATGTATATATTATGTATTTGCAAACATACATTAATATTTAAAGAATAGGAAAGAAGGTGGCAATGAGAACACTATATTTTTCTTCCTTGCAGGAATATTGGCAGAATTCCAGTGAAAGTGTCTCTATCTAACATAATTGTAACATAAACCACAAATGTATTGTTTCCGAATAATTTTCTTGACATTGGGATTGGATGAAGGATTAGAATGGGAGATGGAAAAATGGAAAAGTTACTTGCTGAGGAACAAGGCAGATTCATCTATCATATGGCCCCTGAATTTCTAGATGTCAAGAAATTGTAAATTAAAACATAGAAGATAGCTCAGTGGTTCTGGCTCCTGCCTCACAAGCACAAGGTTCTGAGTTCGATCCCCAGTATCCAAAACAAAACAAAACAAAACATAAAAGAATCTGAAAGGTGTTATAAAGAATCCACTTGTCAAAAATAAGCTTTTGGGGCCGGGGATTTAGCTCAGTGGTTCCACCGGCTGCCTCGCAAACGCAAAGTCCCGAGTTTGATCCCTGGTACCAAAAAAAAAAAAAGCTTCTGAAAGGAAAGTTTATTCCAGTGAAGAGGGACTAGAATCAGGGACTAAAATCAGGAGATGCTAGCAGTTAGCAGGAAAATATTTCATCCCTGAGTGGATGGGCTAACATTGGGAAAGGAAGATAGCAGCCAGCAGGGAGGGAAGACTATACTTGGGGAAGGGGCTATAATCATAAGGGAATTTTATGACTTAGATGCCCAAGGATGATCTTCTCGGGTGGGTATAGTTACTGGACTTCTTGGAGCCACAGAAGTTGTAAATCACATTTTGAGTCCATTTGCCCTATTTAATGGGAAGCTGCTGTTGTTTGCGGAAAGCACCCTGTTTGCTTTGTCTTGTTTGTGAAGGACTCACTTAAATCAGACCTGACAAAAGGGAAGTGCTAAATAAATGAACCTTCAAAACGATGAGTCTAGAAAAAGTATAAACCAGAGAAACAAGTAGCTTTCCTCTAAGATTGTCTGCTGCATTTTAATTATCTGAAGGTGCCTATATGACTAATAAAGGGTGCTAAAAGAACTCATTTACCACTTCTCTAAATTACCTATGATAGCTGCAACTATGCAGGTCAGTGAGGGAATAGTAAAGCAATTTATAGTCCTAGGATCTGAAAAGTGATGATGGAACAACAGTCTATCCTGTGCCTTCATGGGATCAGAAAGCCCAAGCTCTGCCCAGAATGGTGGTACATTGCCTGAGATCCCAGCACTTGGGAGGCTGAGGCAGAGGGATCACAGGGCCAAATCACTTCTATTTGTTTGCCTACAAACAGCTTGAGCTGCCTCTGGCATTACTAAGATGCAGTAATACAGTGGTTGAATCAACATACTAATCAAATGAAGCAACACATTTAAAAGTGCTTTACTTCTGAAACTTAGAAATGCAATCTTGGAAAGCAGAATGAGAAAGAAGAGCTCTGCTATTTCAGCATATCAGCTATAATTTGTATTTCTATATCTGGTTAATGTGACACTATTGCATAGGGATCCTTGGTACATTGGCAGATTAGTTGCTCATTGGTCCTTTTGACAACAAAATTCATAATTCAGACAAATCTTTCTTCCAGCAAACATTTTTATGCCCACTTACAAGGTGTGATGTAAAAATACAGTGAATGTTTAAATTTTTAAAATCTATTAAAGACATTGTCATTAATCCCCCTCAAAGATACTGCCCCTTGCTTTGAACATATTTATACCATCATTCTTGCCACATTCTGAGGCAGTTCTGGAAATTCTCTTCTGTAAGTGACTTATTTGTGCTGTGTGGCTGCCTCAGTGCTCGGAATCAGTTCAAAACATTTACCTTTCGTGGTCATTTTGACCGTGAGGAAAAGTCAGAAGTTGCATGGTGCCAGATCCTATAAATAAGGTTAACCTGCCTTTCCACTGGATGACACTCACTGTTTTTGTTTTTTGTTTTGTTTTAAGTTGCAGGTATTAGGGTTTTTTTGTTTGTTTCCTTTCCCTTTTTATTAGAATGTTTTCAATACATAATATACACCTTCGTCATGGGGATTTGTTACCTATACATATCACGTCTCGATCCTTTTGTCTCAGGAAATATGAAATATGAAACATTATATCTCCCAGCCTGTTAACTGTATGATATGCTGAGTTTTTGTTTTCTAGAAATTGAAGAATGAGTCCTAGGAATGATGGAGGTTAAAAGTAGGAAGATATTTATTGATAGGAAAGCTCTTGAGGGGCAGGAGGGGTCCTGAGTGGGTAACCCAAGGACCCCACTTTACAGAGAAGTTTCATAGGGTGAAACCCACGTGAGTACAACGTGGGTCACAACCGTTAACATCCAATAAGGTTACAAGTATAGTCACTTAGGTAACAGCAGTGCAATTGGGAAGCAAGTCACATAGCAAGCGTGGATGGAAAGAACATGGATTCTCCTAGGAGATGGTGGGTCCAGAGGTCTCTGGTCACCCCCAGGGTGGTCAATGTCTATCTATACTTTCCTAAGCCCAGTTCTTTGAAGAAGTATGTGGGTCTGGTCATCTTGTCTCCATCTTGAGGCCTGGTTTTCAGCCAATGTGCAGCTGTGGTGTGTTTTACCTTTGTTCTGGCCCTCTTGAGGACTTAGCCCTATCTGACTGCCTATAATATTTTTACCTAGCTCATCTATCTATAATACTTTTTCCTTCCCTTTTCACTCCTCCAGTCTTCTCCTTATCCCCAGGTCCCTTTCATATCTCCATAAAGACCCTCACACATCATAAAGACACTCAGGAAAAATGTAGTCCAGGCTGGCCTCAGACTTGCAGTTCTCTTGCCTCAGCTTCTGGAATGCTCAGATTACATGTGTGTGCCATGTCTGGTTCTTAGAATTCTTTTGATTGACTCCCATTTTGGCCTTATGGGAGAAAGGTGGAGGGAGGGAGGAAGGAAGGAAGGGAGAAAGGGGGGGTCTCTTTGCCACATGAGGACCCTGCAAGGAGGAAGACATCTACAAGCCAGGAAGAGCACCCTTGCCCAATCTCACCTCAGACTTCCAGCCTCCATAATTGTGAGAAAATAAAATTTCTGTTGTTTAACCTTTTGATATTTTGTAATGGCAGCCTGAGCTGCCAACTTGAACTAACTTAAGGAAAATAGGCTTAATCCTAAGGATATTAAGTGCTCGCAGATTTGGTGGAGAAGTTGAAATACTAGACTTTATAATAGGTAGAAAGCAAAACTGTTGCACAGGGATAACAATTTGTTCTGCAGGAG